CCTAGTTTGTTGATGGCGGTCGTCTGCTTCACCTTTGGCCACCAGACGGGAGATGCGTATGATATCATACCATGTCTGGTTTTAGTCCCCATGTTTTCCCATAGGTGCGTCTGGCGAGCATCAGTTCTACCTCCGCTTTCCTTTTTATCTTCTCCAAGTGTTGGTTCCAGGTCAGTTTGGAGTCTAGGATTACTCCCAGATATTTAACCTCCGAGACCCTCCGTTTTAGTCCTCTTGATGAATGCTACTATGGTCGATTTGGATGAGCTTATGTTAAGCCCTTTCTCTTCGGTCCATCTTGTTATGATGTTCAGGGTCTGCTGCATGCATCCCTTCACTACATTATTGTATTTACCCTGGACTAGGATGATTGAGTCTTCTGCATAGCCCAGTGCTTTATACCTATTACGGTCCAGGAGACATAGTAGCTCGTCTATTACAAGGTTCCATAACAGAGGGGATAGAACCCCCCCCCCTGTGGACAGCCCCTTGCTACCCGTACCACGACTGTTTCCCCCATAATGGTTGTATATACCAATCTTCCCCTAAGCATGCAGTCTATCCACCTGCAGCTTGTCTTGTCGATCCCTCTTCTCCTCGATGCCTGGATGATTGATTCTGACGACGTATCATCAAATGCGCCCTCAATGTCCAAGAAAGCAGCTAAGAGTACTTCCTTGTTTTTGTAGGTATATTCTACTTCTTCTGTTACCCGGCATAGAGCCGTTTCTGTTGACATACCTGACCTGTATGCATATTGGTCTCGATGTAATGGTCTGATAGCCAGTGTTATGTCCCTAATGTGCCTGTCAAGTAGTTTTTCCAGCGTTTTCAACGCAAATGACATGAGACTAATTGGTCTCAAAGCCTTCGCCGAGCCCTGTCCGATTTTCCNTGAGGTAACCACGAAGGGCGTCGACTTGAATCCATTGATGCTAACAAGTTGACTACGATTAAATACATAAGAGGACAGCCACCTAAGAAGATCGCCCTGTACACCAATTCCAGCAAGTTTCGACATGAGTATGTTATGATCAACCTTGTCAAAAGCCTTGCTGAATTCGGTATACAGTGAATCAACTTGTTCACGGCTGTCCAGTGTCCAGTTAACCGCAATTCCTCAGTTATTTTTTACTCTGTAGTCATTAGTCATTTTCATTTTGGATCTTGATAATTTCATTCGTTTTAATGTATTTCCATTTCACGTTTCATAGATTTCAAGTCATAGTAGAATCATATCAGACTTATATATAATATTTTTTTTCTAGTTGAAAATATCTATTGAGATATACCTTCCTTTCAGTATCCAGTTTTTATTTCTCTGTGGTAGAATATTGCTTAGAATATTTTTAATTTCGATCAGGACAAACACATTCGTTATCAAACATTGAACTGAATCATATCATACTAGAAGAGTCATAGTCATAGTCTTTGAATAATTCATAATGCCCCACCGATTATTTACTGTTCCAAGATAATCAGGAACATAAATTCACTAGATTTGCGCTTGCAATTGTTTTCTAACGACGAAAGCGAAGGTAATTGTTGGGAAAAAAGGCAAAGGATGTCTGAAAACTGCACTTTATTTCTCCGTGTTCAGTTGTTCGGTGAGTCTTCTTGGGAAACAATTCGCCATAAAATTGGTACTGTCAGCAGAGATGCTTCCGTGTGTGAGCATAATAGCCCTGAATACATGGATCTGGTATGTTACATGTTGATATATGAACCGCACGAAAGTGATCGTTATTTATGGAAACTGATGAGACTATATAATAGGACTTTTTCCAGTTTGAAAACTTTTTGAATTTTCCTGCTGTATTTTTATATTTCTCAGAACCATTATCAACCACAAATTTTGGGGATACTTTCAGATATTCAGATATAAGTGGTTATTATTCATGGAAAACTGATGCGTTTGTATATTTGCAATTTTCCCAGTCCAACAAAGTAAAATAATCATACTGTGACATATTTTATTGATTTTTCGTGTTGTTTTTTTTATTTTCTAGACACCATTATCAATCTTCAAATATTTTGTTCAGATTTCCACAATTTCTGATGTAAGTGATCATCATTAATGGAAAACTGTGGAGATTGTAAGTACATTTGCAATTCTCCTGGTTTTAAAAACCAGAATTATCATACTGTTACAATATATCAATTATTCCGATATTCGGATATGAGTGTTCAGTATTTATGGAAATCTGATGAAATTGCTTAATTGTAATTCACCCAGTTTGAAAAACCAAAATTATCATATTGTGACAAGTTATTGATTTTTTTGTGTTGTATTTTATATTTTTCAAAGCCATTTTTGATATTTAGATATTTTGATCGATATCTCCACAAATTTTGCGATTACTTTCAGATATTCAGGTATAACTCATCATTATTGATAATGAACAATCATAATGTGACATCTTACCATACCATATCCGAAGCTATTCTATTTATATACAGTGTATTTCAGTAAAAAAGAGGCTCTGTCAATAAGCCACTCGAATCTGTAAAAAGATCGTGGAACACATCAACTTTGATAGTCACATTTCTTCGTAGAAATCAAACCTTCGTCAGCAATTTTCTCATAACAAACCACGTGACAGAAATTTCAAATGGAGATGATAGTAAGAGATTTTCTCCCCCTAATTATCTACAGTGATTAATTCTAGACCTCTGGTTCAATCATCTCTTCAGAAAAAAATCCAATGCATTCAAATCGCAATAAAGAATCTGACCGATAGTGTTGTTGAAGCTTGGCATTCAGTTATTTAAAATATCATTCAATATGGAATTTTTTCAATTCGTGAATCATTTCCATTTCATAACGGAAAGGAGTTGTATATATCAGAAACCAATAATGAATTTTGTCAGTTTCGAAGATAATTTAGAGTTGAAATTGGGTACCAGTTTCTGCAGGTGATAACCATATTTGAAATATTGAATTTGTAGGATTCCAACATTTGAATCACATATGAACTTGAATTTTGCAGAAAAATACATTCAAGTTTGACGAAATATCTTAAATAGATTGAGTAGCTTTGGTCTCGAGGTTCTATTTTGATTATTTCTGAGTTCCATGTCTGTTGAAACATTTTCAGTTCAGTATCAGTTTGGCTTCTATTCAGTACCGGGTTTTTAAAAATATATATGACGAGTTCAAATTTCCCCTAAGTGGTGATACAACTTGATACACTCTTGTTACTATAAATTATTGAAAGGATCACTGAACGGAAAGGTTGCAATATTAATTAAAGAGAAAAGTAATTGATTATTAACTTTCACATCACGGATAAGGTTCAAGTTATATTAACAAGATTGAAGTTTCTCCTTCCGAAATGAACAGGAATGTGAGGTTTTAACTAAGTGTTAATTGTCAATGATATACCAGGAGCCCCAAAAGTACATTCTCTTGATAAATCGATAAAGGTAATACCTGCAAGAAAAAAATTGGGGCTGAATTTATATCATATCAGAAATATCATGTTTTTAGAATGGTTGTGATCTCATGTACTGCTTCATTCATTTCATAAAAAATTTTACGAATCAATTATTTCATTTTTGGTCATTGAAATGAACTTTTTGTTGTCCCTTCGGACGATGCGGGTTTTGAATGGATTAACTGAGATAATTGGTGTTCCACGCATTAATTCAAATCAAAATTGAAATGAATGAAATTTAATACAGCCAATAGTACCTGAAGCATTCTTCACCAGGAACTTCAAATCATCGGAACAGCTACCTACTTACTCATTTTCCAAAATAAAAGACTTGGCAACAGTGCATTGTGGAAATGAAAATAAAAAGTGTTAAATGAAGTTTTTGTCAGGGGGCTTTTTTAAGGAATCAATGTTTTCCATTCATGATAATTTGAACAGTCATGCAAATACGGCAGAAATATCTTTAGGATTTTTTTATATCTCGAAAATGATTTATAACAAAGTTTTAATGATGAACGAGAACGGGAATGTTTCCTACTTATTCAACAAACTCAGACAACTGCTCATGCAGCTGCAGTTTCGTAAGAAGGTATCATCTTTCCCTCCAACCGATTTCCTGGAGTCTTTGAAGTCCACTAGATACTCGTTAGGACAACAGGAGGATTGTTCCGAATTCTTGAGGTTCTTGTTGAATACTCTTCGTAAGCAAAACAATAGCAAAATCAATACTCCTGTTTGTAAATCTTTTGCTGGAAAAATCCTCACTTGTTTACTTTGTGGTAAATGTTCAAGAAGTACTGAAAACTTATGTGAATTTCTGGAACTTCATCTAGCTTTTCCTAATACGACTAATTACCAGTCCGTGCAAAGGTTATTGTTAAGTCATCTGAAAATGGAATTTTTAACAGGTGATGATCAAAAAAAATAAAAATTTTCAAAATGGACTAGATCTTTTGGATTGGTTCCATTGGAACATTCGATTTCTGTGTTAGACATTATTTTGTGAAAGAAAAATACGTTTGGACAACTTTCCGCGTCTAGTCTCCATATTTTCTTGTCGTAGAGTGTTGGTTGAGAGCGGAATGATAATTTTGAAATATTCATCCCCACTTCTGCAAGAAATTAACCATGATTAGTTTTCGACAATCAGAAAACAGCAGATTCCTGAACCCGAAATTTCACACAGCTTGGAAAACCAGAATGTCTCTATTCTATGGTTTGTTTCTGGGTGAAAGAAATCTGCCAGTTTCATGATCAGTACATTTTTCGAACTCAACACAGTTTCAATGTGATGATTTTATTCTTGCAAGCTTTATGAAGTGTCCTTGAATATGAAATGGTTGTTGAAATGAAGTAATGCATCATTGAGGAAGCTATGGTATAGCGAAATTAGTGCGGCGTTTTTTGCAGTGAAAATCCGACAACAACTGTATTAGTGATTTTTAATATGCATTTTCATTAGGTATTGACCAATTCCATTTTTAAATAGGCAATCATCATGACTTTGCCTTACTTTCATGAGAAATGTGACTAATGCAGAGAAAAGAAGAATATCCAACCCACCTGAATGCTCCACAATATGAATGAACTGTGTCAAATCCCTGTTCTGGTGGTACTACCCTATCAAGAAATTTGGGAGTTAATGCTAGCGAAGCTACTGCTGCTAACAACCATTGATCTCCTAATTCACCAGATTCCACAGTGAATGTTTTATTTATTTCTTCTGCTGGTTCTCCCATGAAACGAGGCCTTTGACACATTTCCTAGAAAAAAAAACACGTGACTCACTCATATGATCAAATTAAGGTAACAAGAGAGAGATTGGTCATCATTAAATGCCCATGAAACATTATTTGCTTCATCGAAAACCAAAGTCATCATAGGATGATTGACTGTTCAATATACCACATTGAAGGAATATACCAGGTTTCTATTCGATGAGATAATGATCGTGTTAGAACAAAGCTGTACCGGTTTTTCCCAGTATTGATCAGTATACATGTGTTTGATGAAAAGTATCGCAGTCTGATGAAATCCAAGGCAGATTTCAGGAAATTCAGATTTCAGATACTATTATGAATACATTAAGTATGTGAAAATTAGACAAAGTATTTTATGTCTATATCTATATCATTTAATTGAAGATGAATTTTCACAAAATAAATGAGTCATCAATATCACAAAAAAAGCATATTTTATTGAGAAGTATTTTGAATATTTATTTTCAATGAGTATATGAAATATTCACCCCAATAAATCTCAGGCGTTTAATGTAACTAACTACTACGATGAAAGGGTAGAACGGTTGAGAAATAATCAACAGAAAAATGTGATTCCACCTTTACATTTTCTACTGGAGCAACCATGGATTTTGTTTTATTTCAGAAATTCATAAACAGTCGGTAATTGAAATCCTGTCGGAAATGTGGCGACTCAGCTGTTGTAGTAGGTGGCAAGCAGTCACCAATTACAAAGTATCATTATGACAAAAACGACATTCTATTCCAACTCTAAGGACTTCTATAAAATACCACCTACACACGCAACCACCAGGAAAATATAAAGTTATTGACTAACACGCACATCGCGAATAAACGAGCAATTAGTTTGCTTGCCTGGAGAACGAACTCACGATGTGGCAGTTATGACGGAGGCAAATATCCACGAAATATGGTTCAGAACTGATGGAGGCAAATGTAAATTAATTTTGAAACTCATCTATCATATAAGGGTACACAAATTACACGAATCTACGACGAAAAAGCTCTCGGGACGTTTTTAACTAATTTCTATGTACAGGGCGTTCCAACGTTCCCCCCTGTAAGTTAAAAACGGACGTGTAATCGAAAATTCCAAAGGACACATCAATTTTTATCTCTAGAGGAACTAATTTCAATATGGAAATCATACCCCTCTGCGGCCAGCAACTACTCCTCCTATTTTAAACGCTTTATATTAGCTTCACCTGTATATATGTATGCATGTATGTATCTAAGCTTGTTTGCTTGTAACTCCCAAGCTCAGGATCTGTATTGATAGAATTATCGACATAATCATCGCTTGATCTATTTGCGGGCAGATGGCGCTTACTCAACCTCATTCATTCGGCAACGACTTCATAGAGTACAAATCGTCTGAAACAACTTTATAATGCGTCAAAGATAATTAGTATTTCGAATATTCGTTTCTAGACAATACTTTTTCCAAAAACTATTTTCTAATTCGGAGACATGAAGAGTGGTTTACTTTTCGTGAGTAAAAATGCGATAATATAGAAAAAGCCCATGTAATTTGCAGAACGGCAAACATTTCTCCTAAACCATACCGCAAAACATGTGAATGAACCTTTATCTGAGTTTATTAAAGGCTATCTCGACCGAAAAAACAAGGTATATGGTAAACCTGATGAAAACATCATCAACAAAAAACGATCTTTATATCGCATTATCGCATTCCACATAAACTTCATTGATTTTTACAGTCGAACTGCGATAAAATCATTTTCGCCACTGCACGGTTCATGTTTACTTCTCCACCGACACCTCGCGATTCCGTATCACTCGTTAGTTGAGCGAAAAATTCGATTCTGTTATTATCACCACGGAATCTTTATGGTCCTGTGAATTTTATTACCTTCAGGCATAAAGGTTGTGGCTGATGATACGAAATCCATTAGCAAATTCGTGGTGAAATCGATGAGAAAATTTCACTTTGTTCTAAAGGAACAGAGATAATATTATAAAAAAAGGGTGGGTCAGATATCGAAAGTTCTACCACAAGACCTCAAAATTGTATCCATAGGTTTTCATTCATCAAGAAAAATTTTCTTATTGAGCAATTCCATAAGCAACGAGAATGATAAAATCACCAGTCCGTAGAACGCGTGGTTTCATCTAATTGCTACTTGTTCGATTGGTATTTCTCAAAATTTGAGATAAAAAATGGACAATAATCTGAGAAAATTCTCAGGTAAGTGGTATTGGTAAAGATTATTTCCTGAAATATCCTCATCTGAATGCACCGGTTTCAGAATAAAATATAAATCCTCGAATGGAATCAATTTGCTGTCAGTGATATCTAAAATCATGGAGAGAACAGTCAACCACCATATCCTTGAATATTTGGAAGGCTTTAATATATTGAGCGATCATCAATATCGCTTTCAGAAACAAAGATCAACAAGGGACCTCCTACCTACCCATATTTGGAATAACGCAATCGATAAACATGGAGAGTCAAGAGCTGTTCCGTGTGTGACATGACAACTTTTTTTTGAATGACAATAATATCAAATCTCTTTGAGTTCAATGAGATGTTTAGGATATTCTTCGAAACCTTTTGTAAAATGGAAAATTAGAAGCGTATTTTGTATTCCTTTTCATTATATTAACTTGTGATGCTTTGAGTGAAATATTCAGGGTCATTTTCATACACAAGGCAACACGAGGTTTTCAAAAAGAGTTCTTTTATATAACTTTGGAAAAAAATGATTTCGAGTTTCAAAGAAGTGAAACTTACATGGAAACAAAAATCCAAAACTGTCATAATTCCAAAGGATCCTGAAGAAAATAAATAAATGGAACTGATACCAAACTGAGAAACGGTTGGTATCCTTCTTTTAGGTAGGTTTTCTGCCAAATTCACCAAATCCGATGAATGTGCAGATCTGTCGACGTTGTTTCTTCTAACACAGGAACATGGAAGATATTGGTTTAGTTTTATGAGGAACAATTAAAGCCTCATACTTCAAAACAACTCACTATAAAATTGATTGCTTATAATAAATACATCTCAATAACTGCTATAACGTACCCGAAACTCAAATTGTCTAACTTTCAACTGAGTTTCTCATTAATGCACTTATTTTCAAATTGCTGGAAAACTCTTTGTTTTATTTTGAATTCATAATAATTCATGATTAAGATGTGCCTGTATGCCTCTTAAAACGGCATTCTAGAAGTTGTTAGTTTAAATCTTCATATTATACTGAATGCTCAATTAACAGAATTTGTGCTCATTTTCAGTTATATGTAATACAGAAATAATAATACAACCGAAGTTATGATCTCCATAATACATGAATATTTTTTAGAGATCACTTTGATATATTACAATTATCATTATTCCTTGATGTAACTAAATGCCGTTTTGCAAACCTATATAATAAATAAGATAACTTTCACAACCTGGAAAAAATTATGAAGTGCATCTATATAAGTGTTTATGTTTATGGCACCTCAGCTTTCTGAAAAAACGTTCCATGCAAGTGGCCATCAATTGATATATCTCGAATACTTTTATCATCAACGCTGGTGTTCCCCAGAAACCCATATCATCTCTAATCCTCCCTTTGTTGTATATCAAAACGATTTATTGGAAAAAAACAAATATATTGCTTCGCTGAAGACACCACTGTTGTCATTTGGTTTCCAAGACATCGACTGTGGATGCACATCTTCACCGAGAGCTGGAGGTTGCATATCTTAATGAGGATCTAGAAGTAATTTCGAACTGGGTTGAAAGTAACCATCCTCAATTCAATGGCACAAAAAAACAAGACATCGGTTTTCTCCGAAAAGATAAATGTTTCCGACCCGGATAAAATAATGTCAGAATAGGTTTGTTGGGGGTTTAAATGGACACCAATTGGTTTTGGCACGATCATGTCGCTGGAATTACGAAAGCTGCTTCTCAAAAGCTTGGAAGATTGTTTCAAACCAGAAAACTGTACATACCTCAGTAACTTTTGATGGTTTATGAAGCTCAGATCAGACCTTATTTGGAGTATTGTTCGCATGTATGGAACTCCGCCCTAAGTAAATAGTATGGAACATCGAAGAAAAGTTAAAGATTCGTCTCTCCACTTTCGAGTGGCACATTTGATTTTATTAGGAGCGATCCATTTGAAGAACTGCATTTATGAGGGATGAACTTCCGGAGAATTCAATCTCTAGCGATTTAAATTCAACATAAATAGGCACCCGAAGACGACTGTGGAGCAGTCATCACCAGAAGACGATTGTGGATACTAACAATCGAAACGTCGTAAAATAACTTGGCTTGGAATCTCTCAATTTTTCATTTTTTAAAACAATATACATTATATTGCTCAAGATTGTTGGAAGATTGTGATTTGAGACTGATAAATAACATATTTTCACAGAAATGAGAAATTTTTCAGTTTGATAAGATCTATATAACAGATAAATAGTTCATTAAGTGATTTTTATTTGCTGGAAGACTGTTTTTTTTGTAAAGAGGAACCCCGCTCTTCCATACACATTTTGTTTGACAGACCCGATTTCCCTTTTTTTTGGAAATTGTCATATTACTAATTTCTGTCATCGTATCTCATTTTATTTTGAATTGATAACAATGACTATCAACTGTGGTTAACTTTTTTTGATGTTTTTCAAAACTGTCTCTTTCATGCACACTCTCCCCTACAAATATCCCAATATATCAATATATACCACGACACAATAGATTAAATATTCATTAAGATATGTATCTACAAAAACACAAAACAATAAAACGCAAAAAACTTGCGAAACACCCTTAACATACCTTCACTTTTAGTATTTTTAATTATTTCAAGAAATTTTTTTTGGAGTACCTATTACATCATTGAGCCGGTAGCAAAATGAAGAAATTAATAAAGTTAGCGACGCCTAGTTTTTTGATTCTCACAAAATAGAATTACATGGAAAGTTACTTACATCATGCAGCGTGATAAAATATGTGCCTTATACAAATCCAAGCA